CGGATGGTATTATATAAAGATGTGAATCATGGTTGCAATGTTACATGGTATAATTATATATTACAGGATTGTCAGTTGTCTATTCTGAGTGAAAGAGGACTCAGTAGAGCCGTACAAGAGTTTGTAGACAAGGATGAAAAGGACGCTATATCAGAACTTGTAACTTACCAAATACAGAAGGCACACGATGAATTGCTGAGAAGGGGAGTGCATTATGAAAATATTGAGAATGAATTGGGAAAAATGAAAGAAGAAAGAGTACAAGGACAGGAAGAAGAAGAAGCAGATGAGGTAAAATAAAATTTGACAATAAAAAATCTGATGTCGGGGTGACAAAAATTTACTTTGTTTTACCAGGGTTTTGAAGTCAAGTGTTAATTGCAATAAACTGTGTTAGACAGTCTTCAGTCTGTCAAGACACTGGCTCTGGCTAGCAATCTAGAAAAGGATACACCAAACAAAACAAAATGGACATAATATCAAAACATCAAGGCTACTTAATACGATGATAGTCTTGCTTTCTGTGGTATCATTGGTTAGATATGTGTCTTAAAGGGGAACCTTCCAAGCCCAGGGATTGCACCAAAGAATCATGGACACTATTGTTTATGTTGTTTACAAAGTTAATCTATCTTTTGTTATTCATTGTAATTTTTATCTAGAAAGTAAATTTGTTGTGAGATTACGCTTAACTGGAAGTGCCCCTTTAAGCACTTATCAAAAGTTCGATATCTTTATTTCATAACTCCGTGATATTATGCATGTTTATCTACAGGTGATTAATAAAGTACGGGCTAAGAAACCGTACAAACCACAAACTGATGACTTCAGTGACGAAGAGATGGAAACTAGAGAAATTGACTCAGATGACAGCAACACATCTGCCACAGCCAGAGGCAGAGGAAGGGGGCGAGGGAGAGCTAGAGGGAGGGGCTCCAGGGGTGGGACAACCACTTCTAGAGGTAGGGGCAGTCGAGGAGGAAAAACCAAAGCTCCGATTATTAAAGCTGGAAATTCAATTGCAGACGGTTAGTAGATTTCACAGGTTATTTGGGTAGGTTGGTAGTTTTCATGTGTTACTTAGGGAGTAAAGGAAATGCACTGCCCATTATTCAGGGAATAAAGGACAACATGATGTCCATTATTGTGTGTTATAAATAAAAGGTTTTTATGATGCCATAGCTTCATATTATCATATTTCTATCCGAATTTAACTCAGTGTGCTTAATTCTGATGGTGGTGATTTCTAGCAACAATAATAAATCTTCATGGACTCTTCTTCTTATTAAACATGGCGATTGGTGATATGGATTATTTCTGGGTGCGTCTGGCAGTCCATGTGACACCAATTTGATTTAGTGTGCGTCTACCAATCCGTGTGACACAAATTTGATTTAATGTGTGTCTAGCAATCTGTGTGACGACAGAATAATTAACAATGAGTCTGGCCATCCATGCAACACCAGACTGATTTTGGAAGGTCTGGCGATCCATGTGATGCCAGTTTAATTTAGGGTGGACTGATCTCACTATAAAGAGTGCTATAATTAACAGGGACATTGACAATTAATTGTTGTTTTTTCTGTAGCATTCAGTAGATCACAGCAACCAAAGATACAGTCTAGGAAATCCATGAAGGTAAGCAATAGGCAAAAAGTTCCTGGTTCCTACTGTACATGTGGGTGGCAGTGGTTACCATAGCATCATTTGTCCACTTGCAAGGCTTGTAGCAATACAAGTTTAGAGAATGGCACATGTCTATCATGCAGATATGATACAAGTAATTTGATTGGACATTGTGTTGGGGAGAGTTGATTTATGTCAACAAGTAACTCAATCATGTGGAAAAAAAAGCTAAAAAAAATTTCTTATTTTAATGAAAAGTATTTCTGATACATAGATTTTATTTCACTGGTATACTGATGAAGGTACCCTACACCTATACTTACTATTGGCTTGTTTTTTTCTATCCTTATATAGATGTATGACGATGATGATTCTGACTCCAATGATCCATTTGATAATATCCCATTGTCTACTTCAAAACGAAAAGCAGCGTAAGTAGTACTATAATAACCCCCCTCCCCACGATACTGACAATACATGTCTTCTCAGAAATGAATGATTTTAATGCTAATGCTTTACAGTGAAGATGAAATTGACTTGACATTCATAATATTAACAATGACTACCATGTTTTCACTCGCAGCAATACCAGTAGGTTTTCCAGTAGAGGAGTACAGTTCAGTGATTCAGAGGTGAGAATATTACAAGGTTTGAACTTTGCTGTTGAGAACATCAATTTTCAAGGTTAAAATCTATGAAATGGTCTTTACACATATGAATAATATAGTAAATAATATTAAAGGACACCAACTCCTGTCCTGCTATTACTGACACTATTAATTTGAACATTGACCTATGAAAATACAGGGATCATTATTAAGTTTGACAACTTTGTTGTGGTATTGAAGATGGTGAAATTCTCTACATGATGTAACAGACAGAGTACCGTACTATAGTCAGACTAGTAACACGGCTTTTCCTTTGATCAGATTCACAATTGTTTTGGGGCTTACCCAGTAACTTTTTAATCCATTAAACAATCGATCAAACTAACGTGACTATAACGTAATAATGCGATGTCCTTTATTATTTCATTAAATAACTCGAGAGTACAAGATATACACAGGGAGTAGTATTAGTTGGGTCTTAGTTCATTTTCTTTTTTTCTTGGTTAAATAATCTCCACAAATGCGACTAAACATATACAAGGTATTTCTGTGTTTATTCTCCATATTTCTGTAATTATATGTATGAATCAAACAAAAATAAAGATTGCCAAAATTTATGCTCCATTAAAATATCAGCTTCCTACATAATATTCAATGACTTTGATTTCTTAGTTGCATGAGCATATCAAGTTTTCAAACTCATTGTCCACAAAAACTACGAAGCGTCCATGCGAAGTAACACTCTGTCAACGCCAACACTGTCATTTGACTTTTATAGAAAAATTTTCACATATTCTGGAATAATTCAAAATAATGAGAACTACTACTGCTCATTATGCTTTCATAAATGTCGTAGATGAAAGTAGAAGATATTAAAAATGCTGTAACTCACACAGAAATTGTTTGGAGAAACAACGACAATTGAAAGGTCAAAACTCACAGATTTCATTTCTGGTTAGATCAAAAAGTATGCGCCTGTGCATATGGCACTAGTATGACATTACGAAAACACACAAAGCAACTAAATTTGAATGTGCTCGGGAATCTTCAAGTTAACGTGTGTCAATAAATTACCAGCAACGTCTGTCGCAGCACACATCCTACGGGCGTAATCCCAATTGACACTTTACAATAGGTATTTCCAGTCCGTCTATAGTAGTCTGAGATGTAATCTATCACAAATGTATACCATTATTACTAAAGAAAACATAGTGGATATCTACACAAATCTCATTAACAGATAACAAACTTATGAGTGTTTAAAACCAAATAAAACAACAACACAAACGTTAAAAACTATCTCAAACCTACAGGTCAGCCATGATTAGTTCACACTTAAAGGGGAATTGCTCAATCCCATGAATTGCACCACGTGCTCATGAGTAATTAACTCCGCTTCTGTCCACTAAGTAAATGAATGCTTATTATGCTTGCTTACTCAAACTGTGATTGACAGGTATTTTGCATACATTAGCCGTCATTTTAAACTCATGATTTTTACTTGTTGCGGCACGTTTCAACCAAAAACAATAACATTTATACATCAAAAGCCCAACCAGATGAGTGTAATCGCTAGCGTACATATTCATGCCCCCGTAAAAATGTATTTGGAATCACAGCTTGATCTCTAAACATTGTAAA